CTGCTTGCAATTCACACTGCTTTCCTTGAGAGCCGAGTCCTCACAGGCTGCTTCTAGTTCACCGTTTTCCACCAAAAAGCATGATTATTTATTTTTAAATACTTGTTCTTTAGGGTGATAAGAAAGTAATATAATTTTACGAAGAACCCTTTTAAATATGACTGTAAAATGAGAAATGAATGTTAAATTTTTAAAAATTTTTCTTTGGCATCTACTGGATTTATAATGCTGTTTTTCATATTAGATTTATAGTTAATTTATGTTGCTTGAATAAACATTTTCTTAAAACTAAATAATCTTTCCATTCCTGTAAAACCTACTTATTTATAATGGATATCTCTTCATAGGCTAAATGAGATTTTTAGTTTTTTTTTAAAGAAATTATAAACCTGTTCACAGAAGAGATTTGTTAAATGCATATGCACACACACACACATTTAAGTACTTAACATGTACCAGATAGTGTTTTAGGTGCAGGGGATATTACAGTAAAAATTTCTTTCTGCTTGGAGTTTACATTCAAATGAGATTTGTGTGGCTCTACCTATATTCTGGGGAGAGGAGAAGTCTTTTCAACTTATTTCAGCTTATTCTAATTTTAGGAAATGCATTGAGGCCTTTTGTACCATAGTCTGCTGTTCTTTCATGGTTTATTGAGCACAGGAAGTATGTGGTTCTTCAAAGTTAGAACTTGTGCATAGAAGAACCTGAGCCTGAAACTTTAATTGAAAGCAATTGAGACAACAGGTATCAGCTTTTTTTTATAAGACATCCAAATGCCTCTGAAGGATATAAAACAGTACTGTCAATCATAGTTGCTTTTTATTGCAATTATACTTAGTCATACCTCTAGGGTGATAAACATCAATCCATGGGGAGCAGATGTGTGAATATGTATAATTTGAAAAAAAAATCTGTCCTTTTATTCAGATATGCTCTTCTAGAGTACTCCTTTTGGTTGAAAACCACTGATTTTAAACTACGCATTTACTTCTCATTGTAACTTTGGCTTCATTTTTATTTGGCTCGAGGTTATTTGGGAGAGTTTTTAATTTCTCTTTTTCTTATTTTCTCTGTTGTTTCTTTTAAACTTAGTTGTGTAGATGCCTTATTTGCATTATATTCAGAGAATCTTGCCTATTCTGTAAAATTTGCTTTTATTGGCTTTAGTTAAGTGGTATATTGTAAGGTATGTTTTTTCAAATGTTCCCTATATTCTGAAGATACATGTTCTATATATAGAGAATAAAATTATAAATGTGTGTATATGAAGTATAAGTAATTTAAGTTATATACTTTTATTTTGATAAAGCAAACATATTAATATATACCATTTTGTATGTGCCAGGCACTATTCTTAATTCTTTACTAATATTAATTCATTTAATCTTCACAATATTCTAATAAGTTATATACTAATATCATTTAACATATGAGAAAACTGAGGCCCAAGGAGATTTAGATCCCTTTCCTATCAGGTTATAGAACCAACGTTCAAACCCTGGTGGCCTATCCCCAGAATCTAGGACCTTAACTACTATGTTAGCTTAACCATTTTGTCTGCATTCATTTTTATTCTGCCTGAATAGAGTTTTGTGTTAAAATTTTTTATTACTATTTTATATCTGTTTCTAATGGTCTTGTTTTATATGTTTGATGCTATAATCTGATGTATAAAGATTCATAAATATTACTTCATTTATTTTCTCACTATTAAGGCTTTCAGTGTCTCAATCCTGTGTGCCTTTAATTCTACATAACTGATGTTAATATTGCATATCTGGTTTCCTATTGTTTATGTGAGTCCAGTGCATATATATATACATTGTTAATTCTCAGTGTTCTTGTAAAAAAATTGTAATATGTTTAGATTAAAAAAGTAAAAGCTAATTATGAATATCTTTTGCTGTGGTGGGGAAGTTTATAGTCAAAGGGCATATGTTTGTATCTAACTTAGGACATTTTGTATTATGCTTTTTGTTTCTTTTACTTTCTCTCTTTTGTTATGAAGATCTATTCCATTTCTTTTCCTATATAGGCCTTTATTTTTCTGTTCCATAGTTTGAAATTATTTATCTCTTTTAAAAGTCTAGAAAATTTTAGTTGCAATTTGATATAACTTTTCTCCCTAATTATAAGAAATTAATAATACTCATAGTAAAATATTTGGGGAATACATTAAAACATAAATGTGAAAACTTCCCTCTAAACCCTAGGTAATGGGTTTAGAGGGAACCAGTAAATTTGTTGCATTTTTCTAATAGTCTTGATGTATACAAATATGTAAACATATATAGTATTATATGAAATATACATATTGTATATACATGTAATCTTTAAAATACAATTGACTAAGCAGAATATTCAACATAAAGTTTAATTTTGCTACTTAATATTATTACATGAGTATTTTTCGATAGCATTACATATTCTCAAAGGCATTACAATTATACAGCAGTCCCCCCTTATCTAGGAGGAATACATTTCCACACCCCTAGTGGATTCTTGAAACCACAGATAGTACCAAACCCTATACATACTATGTTTTCCTATACATATTTATCTATGATAAAATTTAATTTAAAAATTAGACACAGCAAGAGATTAACAAAAATAATAATAAAATAGAACAAGTATAAGAACATACTGTAATAAAGGTTTTGTGAATGTGATCATGCTGTCTCTCAAAATATGTTTTCAGACTGTAGTTTACCACAGGAAAATGAAACTGTGGAAGGTGAAACTGTGGATAAATAGGGACTACTGTGTATACACCATTGTGTAGACTTACCAAGGGATATGATGCTGTCTGTCTTACAGACATACCTGTATGTTCCATCATCTCTGATGTTTTTATCACATTATTTTCTTAGCAAAAATTCCTGAAAAATAGAATTACTAGGTTGAAGATAAAGATTTATTTTAAGTTTTTTTATACATATTGTCACATTTCTTTCCAGAAGTTATATCAGTGGTGCATGAGTCTTAAACTCACTACATTCCTGCCATTAAAGTAGAAATAATGATGAAAATATACTTTAAATTTTTATGTATACTTGGAACATATAAAAGCACACATAGTCTTTAATTTTTAAAAGGTAAGACTAAGGTCTTTTTCTTGCATAAAGCATAACTTTAGTTAAAGGGACCCTACCCTAGTTCATCCACTTTTGTTTGTGACTCAGTTTTCCATTTCCTTGGCATCCCTTTTCACTCTCAGTAGTGTTCTGGTTGTAAGTCAGTCATACAGTCACCATACCTCTAATACATCCCTTCAATTTCCAGTTTCAGTTTCAATTAAAGTGAAGTGAGAATTTAAAGAGAATTATTTCATAGAACATAAGCTACTTGAATCTCCTTAGGGTTTTGTAGACAAACTACTGAATTTTTTTGAGACAGGGTCTTGCTGTATTGCCCAGGTGGGTCTTGAACTCCTGGTTTCAAGCAATCCTCCTGCCTCAGCCTCCCAAAGTGCTGGATTACAGGCATGAGCCGTTGTGCCTGGCCTCTGAATTTCTCTTATTGCTTATTTAGTAAGTAATTTATACAGTGTGCTGAAGAGGGTAATAATCTCTCTTCTCTTATGCTGCATCTTTAAAAAATGTTCTTGTGCTGGTTATTCTCTAATTTCCTTTGAATATAGAAAAATATAGCCAATTTTAAAACTTACCACCTGTGTGGATTTTCTTTGATTTTCTTACCTATTTACTTGGTACTAATGGAATTCAGATTCCTCTCTTAGATCATAGCTAGTGATTGATCTATATAGTTTTCAGCCCTATTTCTGATGAATATCTGGTGATGATAAGCTATAATTCTTTTCTCTGTCTGGTTCTTTGTCCAAGAATTCCTTTCAGAATTGCTTGATTTTATTGATGAGGAAATGTACACAGAGAGATGCAAAGTGCTTTTTCCAAGGTTATCTAATGACTCTGTCAGACTCAAAGTCAGGATTCCTGCTTCTTGGTTCCTTCCTTATTTCAGGAACACTGTAGCCCCCAGTATATCTGTAAGGCCTTATTGACATGGTATAATCTTATGAAGATCCTTATTTCTTAACATTTAAGGTATATTTTATTAGATAGACAAAAATAGAGATTAAGCAGAAAGCTTTCCATTTGGAGTGGTCTATGAACTAAGCCTTTCATTTCTAGAAATATGATCTTAAATGAATATAAGATCATTTAAACATATAGTGAAATCTTTTTAAAATTTAGAGTTCTGTAGTTAACCTCTGCATCAGACCTTGTTCTTAACTAAAAGTATTTGCCCATGTGGTTAATTGGAATAAAAATACAAAGATGGAATTAATTAATTGCATGTACTAATGTTAGGCAAATATACACATATAATAAAGTGAATAATGCAACCAAATGTATTAATAACTCCATGTTAAAATTGTGATTTGGAACTCTAAATTACCCAATAACTACCATAATCCTTCTTTTTGGTATATATTGACTAGGCTCAAAGTTTTGAGTGAATACGCAATGAGCTATGTTAACAATGATAAGAAAACAAGGATTGATTCATTTCAGAAAATCCAACTTTGCTACCATGAAATCATTATAAAGACATTATATAATTTACATTACATATTTTATGTTGTATACTTTATACTATATAAATACTTTAATGTATTTGTGTATTATTGATGTATATATATATACAGATGTGTACATACACAACACACACACTGATATATACACAACACATAGAGACAGACCTCAGCAACTCATTAGGAAATAAGTCATAACTCAGGGAATCACCTATTTTTAAGATGATGTTATTCAGATATATTATACATACATGGAAAAAGAACACATGTTATGAATTTTCACTAACTGAACATACTGTGGGAAGACATTTTACTTTTGACTGAAAACATTTTATTGAGAGATGTCATAAAATATAATTAGGAGATTTCAGTATATAATTGAATAAGAAGAAAAGTTTTAAAAGTCCAAATTACTTGCTAATACTTGAAAAATGTTTTCCAGGTCTCTTTGATGTTATTTTCAACAAAGGAAATATATGCATTTTCCAAAGTCATGAGATGAGGCATCTTTCTCTTGCTCTTGACAATGGCTTTGTCACTGGAATGGTATGTAAATTTTCTCTTTGCTGTATATCAGTAGTATTGTGTCCGTATATAATCTGTTTTTGCATAAAATATTTTGTAAGATTATCAAATTATATTTTCCTTTGGCTTGTGATTGTACTTTTTTTCATTATTCTGTTTTCTTTCACTAATTTTTGAGATTCTGATCCATAAATGGTCCTAAATTTCAGCAATTGGAATTTGGACAAATAGATCAATTCTCTGATAATGTTCAAAATTTTATTGAGCTTTCAAGAGGAGACTGACTTCTCAGTGGACCCTATAGGAAGCATAGTGTTGGGGGAAAAACAGTAATTTTTACCTAATTATGTTTTGTGTTGCTTAGTTTAGGTTTGAAAGAGCAGGGTTTTTGTTTGTTTGTTTTTTAAGAAACTGGGTCTTACTATATTGCTTGGGCTGGTCTCAAACACCTGCCCTCAAGTGATCCTCTCACCTCAGCTTCCTGAGTAGCTGGGACTACAAACATGAGCCAGCTTGAAAAGTAGCTTTTAATATGTAAAACTGTCTATAAAATGCATGCATGTTATTTATTCTGAAAAATGATACAGTGTAGTGTAACTTTAACACACTGTTTTAAGTGCTTAATATATATTATAATGTTTAATCCTTAAATATATGGTATGAAACAATTCATTATTATCCCTATTTAACAGAAGGGGAATATAAATACGTTAAGTGAGTTGCACAAAGTCACAAGCTAGTAAGTGTGGAAGCAGAAATTGAACACAGGCAATCTGACACTAACACTCATGCTACAGCTTACTCATGTAACATTATATAAGATTACATAATGATTTTAACTCATAGCATGTTATTTCACGTAAAAGAAAGTAAAAATTATTGGAAAAAATGTGTGTTACTTATAGGCCTGAAATTCATACTAAGTGATTAGTGAAGCCTTTTCTCCTTGGCTCTGAACATTACAGTAAGGTATCTTGTACTCTACTTCGTAGCACATTCTGGTTAGCACAGAGCCCAGTCATAGTAAGTGCATAATAAATATGAATGTAGTGGGTATAGAATTTACTCAATTGAATTAGGAGTTGAAGAAATTTCTCATTACTACTTTTAAGCTCCTATTCTATTAATACCAGGTTGGTGAGAATTCTATCTTACGTACTAAGAGACTCATCTTTTTTTTTTTTTTTAGCAATATTTGAAAAAAATGTATTAGTGAAATGAGGCTAAAAATGTTTTATTTTCATTGGTTGACAACTAATTGTTCAGATGAATGGTAAAACTCACATTGCGCCCTAGAATAAGGCAGACACTCTGCTAGCAAGGAGAAAACAGACTAATAGATTAATTTTATCTGTTAAACTCTGCAAAAAAAAACCCAAACCAGGCCAGTTTTGAAACATTTTTGGTGCTTGTCATATCGACACACTTTTTCAAATTCAGAACTACCCCAAGAGGTAAGTATTATCTCCTTTTCAAGGATGGGGACACTGAGACTCTTGTGGTTATCCACAATGACCAAACTTCTTTCACAGAATATTTTACCTATGGGGTAAAATATTTACCTTTACATATGGGGCCTTAGGATATCTGGTGATAGCCTTGATAGCTTTGGTCCACACTGATCGCTTTGCTGTGCTCATGAAATGTCAGATAGTTTCTTGAAGAAGAATAGCTCTTCTGCTTCCCTGCTGTATTTGGGCAATAGAACTTTGCTGAGGTTGGTAGACTTAATGTCTTGGACCCAGCCATATTAGGTGCACCAGTGGGCCCTTCCTCTTCAGGCTCTACTGCCTCCCTGGGGCACTGAGGGGATGTGGGATGGGGTAGAACCTCAAATACTGCCTGAAACTATGAAACTTGTAGCATAACTTCCTTAATTTGTTTAGTCTTTTGAAAGCAAAACCTAAGACTGAGTTAAGATTTTTGTTAATCTCAGTTTTTAGTCCCAAATTGTCTTAAGTTAGGAGGACACAATGAAGAAATGAGAAATAAACAGTGATAAAATACATATTAACATCTCATGAAATTATCTTACCACTGGACTTAGTGTTACCCAACACTCTGCCGTGAGTTCTGAGAAATCAAGAGAAGAAAGTCCTTGAAGCAAGTCACTGGAAATAAAGCTGGGGAATAAAAACCCTTGAATTATTCATACAAAATTGTGACATTTTATAAATAGTACAAGGATTCTATAAAGTAAAGTAGACCTGTGTGTGTGTATGTGTGTGTGTAAAATGTCAACTTTTAATTTTTTTTTTCTCTTGCTGATTTAGAGTTTTTCTTTTCTTTTAGGCTAGTGGTGGAGCCGCCACTGAGCTGCAGGTGCTTTATCAGCCCAACCGCTGTGCACTTCTTGAGTCTGCACTAGTTCCTGGTCACAGGGTTATTTTTGATCGTCATGGCAGAATAGCTGATGAATCATCAGCCGGCTGTGCAGACCTTTCAAAAGAGTTTGTGATTTTTGTCAAGGTAAAATGGAGGAAAGTCATTAAAATTTATATTGTTAAATACCTACTTTCTTTTGCGCTATTGAGGAAAACACGCGAATTGAATCATACTGCAGTAATCTGATCAGTTCCCACTAGGTGGCGTGGTGCCGATTTCCATTCTATTTGCCCAGTCTTTGAAAGGCAACAGAGATTGCAGCCTTAGCAGCAATGATGCTGCGATAGTATTAACATCCTGTATCTGATTGAAGTTGAAGGTTAAAACTATGGATGTGGGACTTCTTAATAAAAAGTTAGAGATTCTCACATTTGGGAATCAAACAAATGTTTATATATTTAACTTTTCTAACAATTAGAATTTATACCCTTTCAGTCTTATGTCATGTTATCATTTTATATTGCTTATGCTTCTTTATTGTATGTGTTTGTAAATTTATCTTAAAAATAAGATATTAATATAATAGTAGTCATTTATGAAATTTACTATTTTGTGCCAGGCACTTACTGAGAACTTCACCACACAGAACTAAATTTAATCATCATAAAAATACTGACAGATATTGTTATCTATATTTTAAAGGTGAAGGAAAAGGTTTTCAGGGAAATTAATAATATTGATTAGTATAGCATAGTTAGTAAATGGTGGATCATGATTCAAACTAAAATCTTTTAGTTTTTAAAATTTTTTATAAAGGCATACCTCATAGACATTGCAGGTTTGTTTTCAGACCACCACAGTAAAGTGAATATCTCAATAAAGCTAGTCACATGAATTTTTTTTGTTTCCCTGTGCATAAAAACGTTACATTTACTCTATTCTGTGGTGTCTTAAGTGTGCAATAGCATTATGTTTAAAAATGTACATACCTTAATTTAAAAATACTTTATTGCTAAAAAATACTAACAAATCATCTGAGCCTTCAGCAAGTTGTAATCTTTTTGCTGGTGGGGGATCTTGCCTCCATGTTGATGGTTGCTGACTGATCAGGGTTACTGAAGGTTGGGGTATCTGTGGCAATTTCTTAAAATAGGACAACAATGAAATTTGCCCTGGCAATTGATTCTTCATTTGATGAAAGATTTCTCTGTAGCATGCAATGTTATTTGATAGAATCTTACCCACAGTACAATTTCTTTTAATCCTCTCAAACCCTGCTGCTACGCTATCAACTGACTTTATATAATATTCTAAATCCTTTGTTGTCACTTTAACAGTATTCATAGCATCTTCACCAGTACATTCTATCTCAAGAAATTACTTTTGCTTATCCATAAAAGCAACTCTTCATCAGTTAAAGTTTTATTATGAGATTCTAGCAATTCAGTCACATCTTCAGGCTCCACTTGTAATACTAGTTCTCTTACTAGTTCCACCACATCTGCAGTGACTTCCTCCACTGAAGTTTCGAACCCCTCAAAGTCATCTATGAGGGTTGGAATTAACTTCCAAACTCCTATTCGTGTGGATATTTTGATCTCCTTCTGTGAATCATGAATGTTTTCAAGACATCTGGAATGGTGAACCTCTCCAGAAGGTTTTCAATTTACTTTGCTCAGATCCACCAGAGGAATCACTCTCTATGGAAGCTATAGCCTTATGAAATGTATTTCTTTAATAATAAGACTTCAAAATTACTCCTTGATTCATGGGCTACAGAGTGGGTGTTGTGTTAGCAGGCACGAAAACAACATTAATCTCCTAGAACATCTCCACCACAGCTCTTGGGCAACTAGTGCATTGTCAATGAGCAGCAATATTTGAAAGAAATCTTTTTGTTCTGAGCAGTAAGTCTCAACAGTGAGCTTAAAATATTCAGTAAACCATGCCATAAATAGACGTGCGGTTCTTTGGGCTTTATTGTTCCACTGATAGATCACAGGCAGAATAGATTTGGCATAATATTTAAAGGCCCTAGGATTGTCAGAGTGGTAAATTGGCTTCAAGTAAAAGTCACCAGCTGCATTAGCCCCTAAGAGGAGAGTCAGCCTGTCCTTTAAAGCTTGGAAGCCAGGTATGGACTTCTTCTCTCTGTCATAGATGGCACCTTTATTCCATGTAAAGCTGTTTCATCTACATGTCAGATCTGTTGTTTAGTGTAGCCACCTTCATCAGTGAACTTAGCTAGAACTCCTGGATAGCCTGTTGCAGCTTCTACATCAACATTTGCTGCTTCACCTTGTACTTGTATGTTGTGAGATGGTTTCTTTCCTTAAACCTCATGAATTTACCTCTGCTAGCTTCCAACTTTTCTTCTGCAGCTTCCTCACCTCTCTCAGCCTTCATAAAATTAAAGAGAGCAAGGCCCTAAATTAGGTTTTGGCTTAAGGGAATATTGTGGCTGGTTTAATTTTCTATCCAGACTACTAAAACTCTGTCCATATCAGCAATATTATTATTTGTGTGTTCACTAGAAAAGCACTTTTAATTTTCTTCAGTGACTTTTTCTTTGCATTCACAAATTGGTTAATTGTTTGGTACAAGAGACCTAGCTTTCAGCCTTTCTTAGCTTTCAACATGCCCTCCTCATTAAGCTTAATCATTTCTAGTTTTTTATTTAAAGTGAGAGATACGTGATTTCTTTTCACTTGAACACTTAGGGAGCATTGTAGGGTTATTAATTGGGCTAATTTCAATAATGTTGTGTCTTGGGGAATAGGGAGGCCTGAGAGGAGAGAGAGAAAGAGAGAAAGAGAGAGAGAGATTGAGATAGATATGAGGGCAAAGCTGATTAGTGGAGCAGTTAGAACACACACAATTTTTGTTGATCAAGTTCGCCATCTTATATAGGTATGGTTCATGGACCCTAAAAACAATTACAATACTTACATCAAAGATTACTGATCACAGATCATCATAACAGATACAATAATAATGAAAAACTTGAAATATTGTGATAATTATCAAAATGTGACACAGACACACAAAGTGAACCCATGCTGTTGGAAAAATAGCATTGATAGACTTGTTCAATGTAGGGTTCCCACAAACCTTCGATTTGTGAAAAACACAATGTCTGCAAAGCACTATAAAGTGAAGCACAATTAAACAAGGTATGCCTGTACTTACTATATAATCAACATTTCCTCACATTATTATTTATCCCAAAAGAACATAATTTTAACTCAAAGCATGTTATTTAACTTGAGATGAAACTTAATGGTTTCATAATACCCAAACAAGGATTATATGTGTATATGTATGTGTGTGTATATATATATGCACACACACATGTATATGTGTTTTTATTATTGAACATTTAATTTCTTTATTTTACCACTTCTGCATATGATACTATAATATGTACTTTGACATATGCCTTTGACTACATCTTTTCTTATTTTCTTAGCCTAGAAAATTAGAAATTGAATTTAAAGGCCAGAATATGAAACTTTTAAGGCTCTGGGAGCATAGTGCCAAATTTTATTCCCCAAATGTACCAATTTTCGCTCCCATGAAAGTTAAGGCAACTGTGACGTTAGAGGGAACATTCTATATTACTGCCCTCACTTCTAACATCAACTGTAGAGTTTGGGGGTCCCTGAGTTTGGGGGTCCCTGAGACCACTGTCAAGACTTAATAATTCACTAGAAGGACTACAGAACTCACTGAAAGTGGAATAAACATAAAGCAAGGTAATCCATATGAGTAACAGAAAAACTACAAGCTAAAATTAGATGTTTACTCATAGTTACTCAATTACAGTTTATTATAGAGAAAGAATACAGATTTAAAAAGAGACACATAGGGCGGAGTCTAGGAAAAGCACCAAATATGGAACAGCCAGTTGTTCTCTCCCCACCTGAAAGAGTCAGGGCACTTTCTCCACACTGATGTGTGACAGTGTGCAGCAAGTATTGCCAACCTAGAGGCTTACCTAAGCCTTGGTGTTCAGAGTCTTTATTAGAGTTCCATCATGTAGGGAGTCCATGTGGCTGATCTCAGTCTCCAGCATCTCAGGAGGTCACCTGATGCCTTCTGACCCATACCCCCCCCAAGTCACATTGTTACTGTCTGGCTAGCCTGAGGTCCCCAAGCAAACAAAGACACACCTATCAGGCATGATGCTCCAAGGGTATAGAGATTACCTCTCAGAAGCCAAGGCAAAGGCCATGCTTCTCTAGGTAAATTAAATTCTTCACTATTCTTTGGCAATTTAGGAAAATGCTCATCTCACTGATCTTGGTGTTGAGTATGTCCCTTAAAGAGAATATCTTTGACAATTTTCTAGAGGAATAAACATTTAATTTTAGCTTGTATTTTTTTATTACTAGTATGGATTACCTTTGCTTATGTTTATGGACCATTTGTATTTTGTCTTTTGTGATTTGTATATTTGTCTTTTATACACTTCTTTGCAATATTAATATATTTCTTTTTTCTCCCTTCACCCACACTTCCCAGCCATGTTAGCATATTTCTAATTAACTTTCACGAGTCTTTTATATCTTCCTCTTAAATTAACAATTAACTTATGATTTACTTAAATATACCTTAATTGTGGTTGATGTCTTTTTCATTCATTCCTACATGCATACATTTAAATAATATCAATAGCATACATTTAATCATTCAGGTACTCTTATGGCACACTCTTTTTATTGTGGTTTGTATTAATATTAAAATTATTTGTTTATGATAGTAAATTCCTTAAGAGAAATATTTATATTTTATATCTTTCTTAAATCTGTAGCATCTGATTCTGACTCCTTATACTCTCAATAAATAATGATTGAAGTAAATCAACATTCTTTAGTTTTGTATAGCTTTGTGTAGCTGTTAAATTATTTCTTTTGCTAATTTTCAGCCACCAAATTTCCGATAAGATCCTTATGACTGCAGCCCTTTAAAGAGAATTGACTATATAGGCCTCTCTCTAGCAAAATGTGAGCCTGTTTTTTTACTGCCTTTCTCTTCTGTTTGTTGCTCTGAAGGGAATGTTCCTCAACAGTGCTGTGGTTCTACTTGCTACAAGCCTGTGTCAGGCCCTGTGTCTCCAGCCTGATGGGAGCTGCACTGGAGTGGGAAACCAGTCTGAAAAATCCTACTGGAAAGTGCATAAAATCAGCTCTGGGATTTGCATGTTTGAAAGTGTGAAAAATGCACAGATGTATCTAAGGATTAAGGATGGCCAGTGTGATGGAACAGTAAGCATCTGCTCTTATTTCTCTCAGCAAATTTTTAAGACATTTGCCATTAATAAACCTGAGAACAGCACTTTCTGAGTGGTTTTGGGAAATTGGATGTTATCAGTGGTGGTCCCCCCTTAACTGGCATTTTTAATAAGTGAGGAGGGCAAGCCACATGCCTGGTATAAGAGAGGGTGCCTGACTCTACAGACAGCGCTTCTGAAACATGATGTATATACATGTCACCTGGGAATAGTGTTAGAAAGCAGATTCTGGTTCAGAAAGACTTGCGTGGGACCTGAGTGTCTACATGCCTAACCAGCTCTCGGCTGTTGCTGCTGCTGCTGGTCTGCAAACAACACTTTGAGAACCAAGGTTCTAGAAAGTAACTCAACAATGTTTGTTTCCTTACTGCTCCTTTTGGTACCCAAATTTCCACCATTGGAAACCTTGCACTTTGACTAAGGAAGTAATTTTAAATTCTAAATTCTAAATTCTCTAGCATCTTGAGCCTTAGGAGGGGATTTGGGAGGCAACTCACATGACAGGTTTTATATATTCATAATCCTATGGGGTGAAGGACATATAAGGTTGCACATTTGACTTTCCTATTAAGGCTCTCTCCATCTACTCCGGTTTGAATAGTATAATTTAAACCAAAGTTTTTGGATAAATTCAGAGGTCTTCCTTCTCTCTTCTCTTTACCAGTATGACATGTAGCTATATGGGGGAACTTGCATGAGTTTGTGGGGTAGGCAGAGGGAGGACTTAGACCTTTTGTCATCCTCTGAGCCCCTGTCTTTCCTGAAAACTGGCAAGTTTTTGTATGGTAAGCTGCACTAATATTCACAAAGCAAAAGGGAAAAGCACACGCACACACACACACACACACACACACACACATTTAATTAACATCCCTGATTGACTTACAAGTGTAAAACCTTTCTTTTCTGGGGCTTTTAGGAGTATTCAGAACCATGAAGTAAATTGTCACTGTATGATACATGCTATGGTGTATGTCTTAATCTATTTGCATTGCTATAAAGAAGATACCTGAGGCTGGGTAATTTATAAAGAAAAGAGGTTTATTTGACTCATGGTTCTGCAGGCTGTATAAGAAGCATGGTGCCAGCATCTGCTTCAGGTGAGGCTTCAGGGAGCTTCTGATCATGGCAGCAGATGAAGGGGAAGCAGGCGTGTCACATGAGGATGGCACTAAGTTTTTCATGAGTGATCCACCCCCATGACCCAAACATCTCCCACTAGGCCCCACCTTCAACATTGGGGAGCACATTTTGACATGAGATTTGGAGGGGATAAATACCTAAACTATATCAGTATGTGTCTTTGGAAGTTGATGGGCAGTTTCTGGGGGCACAGAGAAGTGTCACTCCAATGTGGGGGGTGGGCCGGCACTGGAAATTTGTGTCATCCCTGAACAGAAACCAAAGGGACAGCTCAGTGGTCAGTTACCCTCTGTTTAACTGCCTCATACTCAAGTTAGATGACAGTTTTCATGGTTCTTCCATTCCTCCCTTTCCAGTTTGTGTGCACCTCTCTGTGTCTTCCATTTTTTTCTTAGTGTGTTGGTTATCTTGACCCTCCAAGTGAATACACTTCCTCTGCAAATTTATAATGAAATCTTTCTGTCCTATGCTAAATGCTTGTGATTTTTCTTCTTCTTCTTCCTATTGGTGCTGTGGATGACTCAGCTGTATCTGATTAGGCTGAGGGAATGGAAGAAGTCCTTGGTGTTCATATGAAAGAATCTGGTAAGCATAGGCAGATGGGTAGAAATAAACAGATTAAAACAGAAATATTATCCTACCACAAAGGAATGTTGCCTTGCTCATCTTCAGATGCAGAAGCTGAGTGTGAGCCTGGTTAAGTGATTTACCCAGGGTCCCCCAGGTAGTGTCAGAACTGAGACTTCACCCAGGATTGGCTCACTTACTAAGCCCCTGTTGTGGAGTATTGAGGATAACAGAATGGAGACACTGGGTTGACCCCCATGAGGAGACCAGAGTCCAGATACATGGGAGGGGGCAGTGATTCCAAATACTAAACCAAGATTTTCTGCTCCCGCAATTTTCCAAGAACCAGCCTGTTGACAGCTTGGCAGGTGAGTGATTGGATCTGAAATAAATAGGTAGGAGAAGCTCTGTGCCATTCTAGCCTGTGTTGTGCTTTGTGTCAGTGCTGGGAACCTTTTCTCTTTCCCTTCACTGAAAGGCTTCTCGGCATGAAATGCTAAGTTCAGTATTTCCTATGCACTTTGAAACTGAGGCAGGCAATCATGCATTGGCGTTTTAAACCCAAGTATTAATGTCTTAAGAATATTTCACAATATGTAAAAAAGCAGATTCATCTGTTCTGTTTGTGGACAGAGAGAGCCAAAAAGGAGAACCCAGTGAGATAAAGGCAAAGGAGCATAAATGATTTTGGTACACAGAATTTGATATAGAGAACCTTAAAATAGGGAATACAGGACATGAGGCAGAGATTCTCTGGGCCTTTTGGAGATGAACATGCCACATGTTAGTTACATGTGATTTGTCCAGAATGTTAAGGTCACTCCTCTGAGGCCTCTCAAGGCAACAGATATGTAGGAAGCAGGAATGTAACAGAAAAGAGACTGGTAAGGGGAGCCATATAAAAGGACAAACCAGCCATATATGTTGAGGTGATATTCAAAATACTGCATTTAACAACCAGTTCAGTGTACTACAACTCCTAGAATGTAACTCTGGGGAAAAAAAAGGAGTAATGAGCTTTGGGGATCCAAGATGGGAATGAGGCATTGCCTGGCCATGCTGTCAGTCCCCCATTCTTCCTGCTGGGATCCAGCCTAACCCTGGAGTGGCCTGTGACCTTGGGGGCTCTCACATTCTGGGGCAGCCAGAACCTCAGAGAGACACAAAGGGCTCAGACTATGGTAATTCAACATCAAATATAAAAGTATTTCAGTATTTAAAAAATGGGTATGGCTCTACCAATGTGTACCAGTTCAATATCAACTTCCAGCATAAGGTGAGGTGGGTATACTCCTTGAGGATTGCAGAAGAAATACTGTTACTATGTATCATTTTATACATTGGTAAAAATCTTTGTCTTAAGGTAAGGTTTGGGAGGTCTTCCTGGCCATTGACATACTTATAGGTCAGTAACTTTTGCTCATCTACTTCTTGAACTCAGAGGTGTAAACATTCTGTAGAGGTTTCTAGTTTTCTGTTATTTTGTTAAAAAATTCCAAACCTGTTTGTAAAAAAACATTATTACATTGGGAAGTTATTGCAATAAAGATTTGAAATTTTAAGGAGCCCGTCCACAAAGCCAGATTTTCCTGAATACTCTGTAAATTGTAGGAAAGTGTGCCACCACTCTGGCCAATGGTGAATTCCCTGATACCATAACCATATCAGCAAGGAAAGCAAAGGGAGGAGGCAGACTGTATTTTCATGCTTAGCACGTGGCCAAGCCTGAGCAAGCTGTCTTACATTTGTAGTGACACTCCTTAATCCTAAGCTTACATAGCAGTCAGGCAAGCATATAGCAGCAATAGGTCTTCACCTAAAATTGATCTATGTAAATGATCTTATGACTCCTTTTGTGTAGTTACTAAAAGATTGAATGGGTTGAAGAGTTTTTATTGTAAATATAATGCTTTTAATTGTAGGTAACAAAAAGTAATATCTTCTTCACTCATCACTAGGCTTGTGACTGAGACTCTATTAAAAAAAGGATTAACAAGAGAATACCATATAAATTTATTTAATATAAATTTTATGTAGCACAGGAACCTCCAGAAATGAAGACCCTAAACCCAAGAAAAACTGTCATTTTTAAGGACAATTATGCAAAAATATGATTAGAGAACAAAAGGGTATCATCTAATGGTGAGAAACTGTGAGGGCTATCTGTTCACATTCTTCTTGGAGTCCTTGTGTGGTATTTTTTTCTCTCCAGGTATAGTGGAGGACACTTGTGACATGAAGGTCTTTAGTGGAGAAAATGGGAGAAGGTGTGAGAGTGACCTTTCAGATTTGAGGGCCTGGTTCAGGGAATAAGAGGCAAGGGGAATTCTAGTTTCTGTGGCTTATTTCAGAGGAGGAAGAGGAGAGAGGAATTTCAGTTTCTATGGCCTGCTTCAAGAGAAAATGGGCAGGAGAAGTTCAGTGAGACCTTCGTTCTTCTGTGGTTTTCTCAATTTCCTTCAGCTTAAAATACTTAGTATGCCAAGGTGCCATATTTTTGAGTAGTGTTTCCTATATTCCATCATCATTATTGGGCATGGTACAGATCAGGCCTATCCTAGATTTTCATTGGGCCCTTGGCTATGGCTTCTCACACACCCTGTCACTGCACATCAGGGTCAGCTAGAGCTTCTCTTCTGGGTCCCATGTGGCCAGTTGTTTTGTGCATACCAGACCTGTGTTATTAATATTAGTGGAAGCCTAAAGGAGCACTCTGAGGCTACCTCCTGATGGTGTCTGTTACTCAAACATTGATTTTTAACCTTTACCTGGTACTTTTATAGAGAAGAGCCTACACAGAAAACTCATCATTTATATCTTCTGTTCCTTGTATTGTAGTATTTCCTTTATATTATGACTTGTTTAATGACTCATTAATTTACTTGTCTGACTTTAAAATTCTTCATGTGAAATTTTTGTAGTGAGACATTTTAGTCAAAATGCATATGCTTCTTTGCTCTTAAGAACTAGTATTGTTACATAACAATGAAGCATATTATTTTTCATTTCCATTGTATCTGACCAGGAATCACTAGACTGGATTGGCATTATTCTTATAAACAGATTGGTAATAATGTTCTTAATTACTGAAGTTTGCACATGTTTAAAGGCTATGGTAAGGCATGCTTATAATCTCCAAAGGGATTTAAGATGCATTCAAAGGTAAATAGAAATGCATGCTCGGATACCTTAATACTGCTTCAATCCTGGTAGCTACTCAACAAATGCTTATTATAATAAACCGAATAAAAGTATGATGATTCC